TTCTTTACTGCCTTTCCCAAGCTTCAGAATTGACGATGCAATTTGAACTTGGATTATTTGAAGGACGTCACGGTGGTTATCTTCCTGGCCTGGAGGTCGGGGGTTCGATCCCGACCCTGACGCCTGCTGCTGCTGGATATTTGGAGTTTGCGTGTCTCTCATCATTAAGGTGGTGAGATGTTAACTACCTTGCCTGGTATGCAGGAGGTCGTGGGTTCGATCCCGACCCTGACGCCTGCTGCTGCTGCTGCTGTATATTTGGAGTTGGCGTCTCTCTCTCCCCGTGGTCGCGTGGATATTTTTCCTGCGGGTCCTCCGGTTTCCCCTCCACATGTAGAAACGTGCACTGCGATTATTTCGATTACTTTGCTGCTACAAATGTCCAAATGATGGTGCCAATTTGTTGAGCTGTCATTTTTGATTACCAGGTCGCTTGTGAAAAATAAGTACATATCTCAGTGGGCGTTGCCTGGTAGGATGGGGATAGTTTAGTTTGTATTTGTTTGTGTTTGGGTGATTTGTTGACCTTTCTTGTACTTTGTATTGTTGTTGCAACCTTCTTACCCGCCGCCCGTAGTGGACATCTGTGAAAAAGCGCTTTATAGCTCATCGGATTCCTCCAGGATAAATATTCTGAATTGGCACGTTTCTATTCTTAGGTGACAAATCCTTGACAAAATTGGCTGCCGAGCGGTGGTGGCGAGTTTAACGGACACGTGTTTATGCGATCTAACCCCAACAACAACCCAACGACAACCCCAACGACAACCCCAACGACAACCCCCTTTATTATGAAGGGGTCATGAAATTCCGCGACCTCCCGGATTCACGATCCGACACCGCGTGCCGCCCCCCCACAGCCCGCCGGACAGGCCGATGGATTCCTGGGGGCCACCAGCGGCTCGCGCTATCGGAAGGTCGAATCCTGGTTGGGGTGGAGGTGGTGGGGGGTGGGGTTTGGCTCAGCCCATCATCATCATCCCTCCCGGAATCGATTAAATAACTACTGGTTTGTAGGCAAAAGTTAAGTGGTTGTCACCAGGAGAGACGAGATTCTTCCCCCCAACCATATGGATGTGGAATTTCCTCCACTTGGCTCGGTGGCTGTAAACAAGAGATGAGCCTTGAGCAGCAGGCCGCTTTAAGACAAATTGATGATGGCACAGTGGCACCCAATCCGTGGTCTACAGACCGGCGGTGTCCAACAAGGCCACGTGGAGTGGTCCACAGACCGGCGGTGTCCCGCAATGGATATCAAGACCAAGCAGAGGTCACCGTGGCCCAAGCCACCGCTGCCATGGCGCGTGCTCGCCATCAACGATCCCCACCTTCCGCAGCAGCCGCACAGGGCACGTGCGGCGACCTCCCAGACCGGCCCTCAGAATCTCATCCCAGCATCTCTCCACTGAGACAGACTCACAGAGACACCTCCACAGACTCACAGAGTGCCCCACGGACTCAGAGACCCGTAGACACATAGAGAACCACAGACAGAGATACATAGACTCACAGAGAGATCCACAGATTTACACAGAGAACCACGGATATGCCCGAACAGTCTCCCACCATCTCCTCTTAGATTCACAGAGAGACCTCGAGAAATTTGTACAGAGATTCACAGATATATAAAGACCAATACTCACACAGATACCCATACATTAGCCCTGACAATATCCCCCATCTCTTAGACACACAGAGACCCAGACTCGCACGTGGAGTCATAGACTCACAGAGAGATGCATAGACTCACAGCGACTCATAGACCCACAGACTCACACATATCCATAGACTCACAGGGAGGTTCACAGACTCGCACAGAGACTCAGAGAAACCCACAGAGGTCTACGTTCTCGCACACGAACAAACACTTTTCAACGATTGGCCAAAGGCATCTGGAACTGCACGCTACGCGATATAGTTTGTATAAATGACGCTAAATGCTAAAACTCAGTTAATCATGGTGGGCTACGTACGGTGCGAAAGAAGTTTAACATACGTACGACATATTAAGAAGCCAAACTCCCCTTGTTGGAATTGGCCAAACGACCAAATAATATGGCAGCGCCCTCCCTGGAACAGTCTTCGGACTGTTCAGTCTGGCTTCACTGGGTAAATAAGCAATTGTTATCAAGGCAAAATAATTCCGTTTCTTTTAATATGAAGTGGGAAATTCCTCGTTTCGAATAAAACATTGCTTCTCCTGCCACTGCTCAGTGGTAATCCAGCGACAGAGACTCACTCAGTTCCTCAGCGCACCGATCCACACTCCGTTCCTCACCGCACCGATCCACACTCCGTTCCTCACCGCACCGATCCACACTCCGTTCCTCACCGCACCGATCCACACTCCGTTCCTCACCGCACCGATCCACACTCCGTTCCTCACCGCACCGATCCACACTCCGTTCCTCACCGCACCGATCCACACTCCGTTCCTCACCGCACCGATCCACACTCCGTTCCTCACCGCACCGATCCACACTCAGTTCCTCACCGCACCGATCCACACTCCGTTCCTCACCGCACCGATCCACACTCCGTTCCTCACCGCACCGATCCACACTCCGTTCCTCACCGCACCGATCCACACTCCGTTCCTCACCGCACCGATCCACACTCCGTTCCTCACCGCACCGATCCACACTCCGTTCCTCACCGCACCGATCCACACTCAGTTCCTCACCGCACCGATCCACACTCCGTTCCTCACCGCACCGATCCACACTCCGTTCCTCACCGCACCGATCCACACTCCGTTCCTCACCGCACCGATCCACACTCCATTCCTCACCGCACCGATCCACACTCAGTTCCTCACCGCACCGATCCACACTCCGTTCCTCAGGACACCGATCCACACTCACGTCACAACATGGTGCATGTGCCTGATGATTGGTAAACATGTCCCAAGGTGACGCAGAGGGAACTTAAAGTTGAATGAGTGCACAAAAAACAGACGAAAACAAAGATCCCCCGTGTAGCCTGAACAGACTGTAGGGGCAACTGCTGTTAGCGAGCACCTATGAAGGCCGGAACGGCACACGAGGGAGTGGGTCGCCAGCACCACGCCCGGCCGCCCTTGTCTCTCCAGTGGCGATGTTTACATACCGCACCGGGTACTCATTTGAGGCCGAGTCGACCTAGGGGGGAGGCCCAGGACTAATTTAGATATTCATCGCCGGTGGTGGCCGCAAGCGGGATCGAACTCGGGTCACCAGGTTTCGCAGCATAGCGCGCTAACCGCTGCGCCACCACTCCCCAAACATGTAAACAAAGACAAAGATTCCCCGTATAGCCTCAACAGACTGTTGAGGCAAGTGCTGTTAGCGAGCACCTATGAAGGCCGGCACGGCATACGAGGTGGTGGGTGGCCAACACCATGCCCGGCCGCCTTTGTCTCCCCAGTGGCGATGTTTACACACCACACCAGGTACTCATTTGAGGCTGAGTCGACCTAGGGGAGGCCCACGACCGGTTCAGATAATTGTCACTGGGTGTTGGCCGTGAGTGGGAATCGAACTCGGGTCGCCAGGTTCGTAGCGCAGCGCTAACCACTACACTGCCGCTCCCTACATTAACGTAAACAGACACACGGACACACGGACACACGCACACGGACACACGCACACACGCGCACACGCGCACACACACGACATTGATCTCATTTTGATTACAGGGTAGGCTTGCATGCACCTACCTTGGAAAACGGCCACGCCACTTAGCTCGGAGGCACAGAGAGTAAAGGCCACGGTTAGATTCCCATACTGGGCCACACAGCGGACGCGTGCGGCTTCCACAGCGCACCTCGCGGAGCCGTGTTTGGCAAAGCTGAACGGAAGTGCAAAGTGAGCGAGTGCCCTCTTGCTGTGCCCAGTGGTGGACACGAGCCGGCACACCACACTGGCAAGCCACGCTACAGCGGGATGGCACGCCACACTGGCAAGCCACGCTACACCGGGACGGCACACCACACTGGCAAGCCACGCTACACCGGGACGGCACACCACACTGGCAAGCCACGCTACAGCGGGCCGGCACACCACACTGGCAAGCCACGCTACACCGGGACGGCACACCACACTGGCAAGCCACGCTACACCGGGAGGGCACACCACAACGCCACAGTGATAGGCCACCAGGGCACGCCACGCCGGCACTTGTCACCACAGCATCCTCGCGTAGCGGGAACTCTGAGAGGGGTTCTCAGTCCTACACAACGACGCCTCCGAAAGAGGGGACGCGGTGGCGTCGGAGTGTGAGAGGAGTGTGAGCGAGAGTGTGAGAGTGTGAGCATGCGGAAGCATGAGAGTGTGATCGTGTGAGCAAGCGTGTGAACGGGTGAGAGTGTGAGCGAGTGTGAGAGTGTGAGAGTGTGATCGGAGTAAGTGTGAGTGAGATTGTGAGAGTACGATCGGAGTGCGAGCGAGAGTGTGAGTGAGAGTGTGAGTGAGAGTGAGAGGTTGAGTGTGTCAGCCTGAGTGTGAGAGTGTCAGAGAAAGTCAGTGAACGTGGGCTGCTGCTGCTGCTGCTGCTGCAGCAGCAGGAGGAGGAACGGGCTCCACAGGGCCACCTCCACGTTCCCATTCCCACTGCGCTGCTCATGCCAACTTCACCGCCATCGCGACCACACTCAAGCAAGAGGGGGGAAGAGGCTAGGAGATGTTAACTACCTCGCCTGGTATACAGGAGGTCGTGGGTTCGATCCCGACCCTGACGATGCCTGCTGCTGTATATTGGGAGCTTGCGCGTCTCCCTCCCCGTGGTCGCGTGGATTTTTCCTCCGGGTCCTCCGGGTTCTCCCTCCACGTTTAGAGTTGACGTCGCGTATTTGGGCTGCTGCTGTTAATTTCCCGCGCGGCGAAAGATGCGCCGCTACGTTCGAGCAGCCATCATTGGCGACGGCCGCGTCGATTACGAGACAGTGAGCTGAGCGTAGCTCGCTGGAGCCTTACCAGATAGAATAAAAACGAGTTGGTCGTAACAACAAATCTAGCGGTAATGTAACAAACAAAAAAAACTCGCAGGGGAAAGCCGCGGTTTTGACGATGCGGCCCAAAGAGGGCAGCGCGTCGGCCTTCCCCGCACGGACGCCGACCTCGCGGCCCAACAACACGGCCGCTGCGGGCGACCGGGGCCGGCCAGGAAGGTGCCTCGCTGGCACTCACCACCGGCGCGACGCCGAGCACGCTGACCCAAGCGACGCGCTGCCCCCCACAGCGAGGGCCTGTCGGGTACGGCCGGCGGGATGTTGTGGTAAACAAGAAGAGACGATGTAAAAAACATTACAGAAATATGCTGGAGGCTTTGTTCACACGGAGCACAAAACGAGGGGGGCGTCCGGCCCCCCTCGTTTGTGATCGGACATTGCGGGGAAGGGGGTGCCGGTGAGGAAGGGGGGCATGGTGGAGAAGGGGGGGTGGTGAGGAAGGGGGGCGGTGGGGAAGGGAATGGGGATGGTGGGAAAGGGGGAGGAATGGGGGCAGTTAGTGGTGGGGGGGGGGGCTCTACGTTCGCGTGACCCTTCGTGACCCCCCGCGGCTCAGATGGCCACGAGGTCGTCGCTGGAGTTGACGCTGATGAGGACGCTGCCGCGGTCGCTGCTGCCGCCGCCGTCGCTGCCCTGCAGCCTCATGCTGTGGCTGCTCTTGAGGTCGCCCAGCGTGGCCGGCACGGACACCTTGCCGATGAACTCGGAGCACACGCAGCTCTTGTTCCACAGCTGCGAGCACACGCACACAAGACAAACGTCCCCCGCGTAGCCTCAACAGGCTGTCGGGGCAAGTGCTGCGAGTGGCTGCGCCTACGAAGGCCGGCACCGCGCAACGAGGGGGCGGGTGGCCAGCACCACGCCCGGCCGCCTTTGTCTCCCCAGTGGCGATGTTTACACGCCGCACCGGGTACTCGTTCGAGGCCGAGTCGACCTAGGGGAGAGGGCCCGAGGACCGGTTGAGAGAATCGTCACGGCCGTTGCCCGTGAGCGGGAATCGAACCCGGGTCGCCGGGGTCCATCGCGTGCCAAACCGCTACGCCGCCGCTCCCCACAAACAGCACCGCGATTCTCACGCTCGCGAGAGCCACCGACGGCGATCCTCACGGCGATTCTCACACTCGCAAGAGCCACCGACGGCGATCCTGACGGCGATTCTCACACTCGCGAGAGCCACCGACGGCCATTCTCACGGCGATTCTCACACTCGCGAGAGCCACCGACGGCGATTCTCACGGCGATTCTCACACCCGCGAGAGCCACCGACGGCTATCCTCACGGCGATTCTCACGCTCGTGAGAGCCACCGACGGCAATCCTCACGGCGATTCTCACGCTCGCGAGAGCCACCGACGGCGATTCTCACGGCGATTCTCACGCTCGTGAGAGCCACCGACGGCGATCCTCACGGCGATTCTCACGCTCGCGAGAGCCACCGACGGCCATTCTCACGCCGATTCTCACACTCGCGAGAGCCACCGACGGCGATTCTCACGCTCGTGAGAGCCACCGACGGCGATCCTCACGGCGATTCTCACGCTCGTGAGAGCCACCGACGGCCATTCTCACGCCGATTCTCACACTCGCGAGAGCCACCGACGGCGATTCTCACGCTCGTGAGAGCCACCGACGGCGATCCTCACGGCGATTCTCACGCTCGTGAGAGCCACCGACGGCCATTCTCACGCCGATTCTCACACTCGCGAGAGCCACCGACGGCGATTCTCACGGCGATTCTCAAACTCGCGAGAGCCACCGACGGCGATCCTCACGGCGATTCTCACACTCGCGAGAGCCACCGACGGCGATTCTCACTCTCGCGAGAGCCACCGACGGCCATTCTCACGGCGATTCTCACACTCGCGAGAGCCACCGACGGCCATTCTCACGGCGATTCTCACTCTCGCGAGAGCCACCGACGGCCATTCTCACGGCGATTCTCACACTCGCGAGAGCCACCGACGGCCATTCTCACGGCGATTCTCACGGCGATTCTCACACTCGCGAGAGCCACCGACGGCCATTCTCACGGCGATTCTCACATTCGCGAGAGCCACCGACGGCCATTCTCACAGCGATTCTCACTCTCGCGAGAGCCACCGACGGCCATTCTCACGGCGATTCTCACACTCGCGAGAGCCACCGACGGCCATTCTCACGGCGATTCTCACGCTCGCGAGAGCCACCGACGGCCATTCTCACGGCGATTCTCACTCTCGCGAGAGCCACCGACGGCCATTCTCACGGCGATTCTCACTCTCGCGAGAGCCACCGACGGCCATTCTCACGGCGATTTTCATACTCGCGAGAGCCACCGACGGCCATTCTCACGGCGATTCTCACTCTCGCGAGAGCCACCGACGGCCATTCTCACGGCGATTCTCACACTCGCGAGAGCCACCGACGGCGATTCTCACGGCGATTCTCACGCTCGCGAGAGCCACCGACGGCGATTCTCACGCCGATTCTCACGCTCGTGAGAGCCACCGACGGCCATTCTCACGCCGATTCTCACGGCGATTCTCACGGCGATTCTCACGCTCGCGAAAGCCACCGACGGCGATCCTCACGCCGATTCTCAGCCCGGCGCACCTCGATCACGATGGGTTGGTCGGGCTTGCGCCGGTAGAACAGCGCCTTGGTGTCCAGGGCGGGCTCCTGCGTGTCGGCGTGGGGCCGGCTCCGCACCTTGGTGCCTTCGCTCCGGATCACGGCGTAGGGGCTGGAGCCTGCGGCGAGGCGGAGGGGGCGTGGCCCCGTGAGCCGCGGCGGAGCAACCGCGAGGCCGGGAGCGGCCGCACGGTGAACGCTCGTGACGCGCGGCAACAAGGCCCTGGATTTGTGTGCTTCCTCTCTCACCCCCCACCCCCCCCAGTTCTACAGTGAGTGGAGTTCATATCATCTCCCCCTGTTCTACAGAGTGAGTGAGTGGAGTTCATATCATCTCCCCCTGTTCTACAGAGTGAGTGAGTGGAGTTCATATCATCTCCCCCTGTTCTACAGAGTGAGTGAGTGGAGTTCATATCATCTCCCCCTGTTCTGCAGAGTGAGTGAGTGGAGTTCATATCATCTCCCCCTGTCCTGCAGAGTGAGTGAGTGGAGTTCATATCATCTCCCCCTGTTCTACAGAGTGAGTGAGTGGAGTTCATATCATCTCCCCTGTTCTGCAGAGTGAGTGAGTGGAGTTCATATCATCTCCCCCTGTTCTGCAGAGTGAGTGAGTGGAGTTCATATCATCTCCCCCTGTTCTGCAGAGTGAGTGAGTGGAGTTCATATCATCTCCCCCTGTTCTACAGAGTGAGTGAGTGGAGTTCATATCATCTCCCCCTGTTCTACAGAGTGAGTGAGTGGAGTTCATATCATCTCCCCCTGTTCTGCAGAGTGAGTGAGTGGAGTTTGTATGATCTCCCCCTGTTCTACAGAGTGAGTGAGTGGAGTTCATATCATCTCCCCCTGTTCTGCAGAGTGAGTGAGTGGAGTTTGTATGATCTCCCCCTGTTCTACAGAGTGAGTGAGTGGAGTTCATATCATCTCCCCCTGTTCTACAGAGTGAGTGAGTGGAGTTCATATCATCTCCCCCTGTTCTACAGAGTGAGTGAGTGGAGTTCATATCATCTCCCCCTGTTCTGCAGAGTGAGTGAGTGGAGTTCATATGATCTCCCCCTGTTCTACAGAGTGAGTGAGTGGAGTTTGTATGATCTCCCCCTGTTCTACAGAGTGAGTGAGTGGAGTTCATATCATCTCCCCCTGTCCTGCAGAGTGAGTGAGTGGAGTTCATATGATCTCCCCCTGTTCTACAGAGTGAGTGAGTGGAGTTTGTATGATCTCCCCCTGTTATACAGAGTGAGTGAGTGGAGTTTGTATGATCTCCCCCTATTCTACAGAGTGAGAGTGAGTGAGTGGAGTTTGTATGACCTCCCCCTGTTCTACAGAGTGAGAGTGAGTGAGTGGAGTTTGTATGACCTCCCCCTGTTCTACAGAGTGAGAGTGAGTGAGTGGAGTTTGTATGACCTCCCCCTGTTCTACAGAGTGAGAGTGAGTGAGTGGAGTTTGTATGATCTCCCCCTGTTCTGCAGTGAGTGAGTATAGTTTGTATGATCTCCCCCTGTTCTACAGTGAGAGTGAGTTAGTGGAGTTTGTATGATCTCCCCCTGTCGTGCGTGGGGTTTGCTCCACACACATGATGCCGAGAGTGCTGGCCAAGCAGCACGAGGCCTCTCCACTCACTCAGGTTGTTCCTGGACAGGAGGACCCGTGACACTTCACATGCAGACCCACAGAGAACCACCAATTCGCATTGCGTCACTTTCTTATCTTTCAGCCCAAAACATCCCTGACGTTGATAAATAAACCCCGTAAATTACTCCATTGGGATCACATGCAGCAGTAGCTGCAGCAATAGCAGTTGCAGCAGTATTAGCAGCAGTAGCAGCAGCAGCGAGCAGCAAGCAGCAGCAGCAGCTAGCAGCAAGCAGCAGCTAGCAGCAGCAGCAAGCAGCAGTAGCAGCAGCAGCAAGCAGCAGTAGCAGCAGCAAGCAGCAGCAGCAAGCAGCAGCAGCAAGCAGCAGCAGCAAGCAGCAGCAGTAGCAGCAGCAAGCAGCAGCAAGTAGCAGTAGCAGCAGCAAGTAGCAGTAGCAGCAGCAGCAGTAGTAGCAGCAGTAGTAGCAGCAGCAAGCAGCAGCAGCAGCAAGTAGCAGCAGCAGCAGTAATAGCAGCAGCAGCTAGCAGCAGCAGTAGCAGCAGCAGCAGTAGCAGCAGCAGCAGCAGTAGTAGCAGCAGTAGTAGCAGCAGTAGCAGCAGCTGGAGCAGCAGCAGCAGCTAGCAACAGCAGCCGAGGCAGCAGTAGCAGCAGGCAGCAGTAGCGGCAGGAGCAACAGCAGCAGGCAGCAGCAGATGTTAACTACTTCGCCTGGTGGGTTCGATCCCCACCCTGAAGCCTGTTGTATATTTGCAATCAACGTCACGCGTTTAGAGTGATATCGGTTTGGCAGCGATACATTTCCACGTGATGGCCAGGTTGCTCCTGGAAAAGAGCGAGCGATGAGCTCAGTGGGCTCTACTGATAAAATACAAAATCGTGTAACAAGGTCAAGATGGGGGGGGTCACGACGGGGGTCACTACAGGGGAGGGGGGTCGTCACACCTGGGGGCAGCCCGGAGGCGCTGATCAGGTGCAGGCTGGTGACGAGGCTGGGGTAGCCCACGATGCCGCTCCAGCACGTGTGCGGTGGCACGTCCACCACCAACTCCCTGGGGGGGGGGGGGTGGGGACAATCGGCGCTAACGACAGCACAGCAGCGAGGACGAGACGCGGGGCACTGAACACTCGCACACAAAGACAAAGATCCCCTCCCCCCCGTGTAGCCTTAACACACTGCTGGGGCAAGTGCTGTTAGCGAGTAGCACCGATGAAGGCCGGCACGTCGCACGAGGGGGTGGGTGGCCAGCACCACGCCTGGCCGCCTTTGTCTCCCCAGTGACGATGTTTACACACCGCACCAGGCGACGGCCTAGGGTAGGCCCAGGAGCGGTATTATCCTTTATTTATTCTGGAGAGGCGTATTTCACGAAGGTCGTGATGATGCTGCTGCTGCTACATTGCTGCTGCTACATTGCGTGTTTATTCATTAAGGTGTTTTCGGCCTCGATTACTGACGAGTCGTGTTGATTGCACCGCGTCGGAGGAAGAAACCGGAGCACCCGGAGAGGGGGCAACACTCTATCCCCCACGTACAGATGGCACAGATGGAGATTATTCCACACTTTACTGCACTGCCTCCTCCTGGTGAACCAGGAGTACGGCCACCACAGCGCTGGATGATTACAGGGGCCCAGTGCAGCAGCAGCAGCAGACCCGCAATCACCGCCAATACTGCCACCGCCAAATAAAGATCCCCACCACCACCGCCACCACCACCATCATCGCCACCATCACCACCATCACCACCACCGCCACCACCAAACAAAGATCCCCCACTGCCACCACCACCATCACTGCCACCATCACCACCACCGCTACCACCAAACAAAGATCCCCCATCACCGCCACCACTGCCACCACCACAACCAACAACCCATTCAAAACCACCAAAGCCACAACAACAAGAGAAAACCACCGTTTCCCGCAAGGCATTGGTCGCGCTACGTGCGTGCGGGCACCTGCAACGCGACGCGACGTCGGTGAAGACGCGCAGCAGCAGGCGGCCCTGCTGGCGCGGCTCGAAGGTGGTGGCCACGGCGACGTAGCGGCCCATCGCCAGCTCCTGGCGCAGCACCACGCTGCGCGAGTTGATGTACACGGAGCTCGCCACCTTCTCCTGCTGCAACGTGTGCATGCGGAACTCACGATTGCGCTCCACCTGTTGCACGCAGCCAGCGGGGGGGGGGGGGGATGGGGGAGGGATGTGGGGGGGGGCGTTGGGTGAATACGAGCTCCTGCAGTCTAAATACATAGTCTGATTCTGCTCCGCCTCTTTCTGTTTAGGCCCGGCCCCCCTCCCCAGAAACGTGGGCTGAGGCTGGTTTGGATGGTGGGCAAGTCTCAGTCAACCCATGGCACTTGGGTCTGTCACCTGACCGCCTCCTGCACCTAGCCTGTCACAGCATTCAACCCACGCCACCACCTGCTGGGTCTGTCCCGTGACCTTCCCCGTCAGCGAGCCTTCGACACTTCACGTGGCCTCAAACTCCACCTGGCCTGGCACAGGCGGCGTGGTGACGTCACCGCCACTTCGTGGTGACGTCACCGCCACTTCGTGGTGACGTCACCGCCACTTCGTGGCGATTGGTATTGGGGGATTGAACCAGGCGCCCATTAAACCAGGCGCTACCTCCCGTGCTCCCCCGTGCACCCCCCTGCTCCCCCGTGCTCCCCCGTGCACCCCCGTGCTCCACCGTGCTCCTCCCGGCTCCCCCGTGCACCCCCCTGCTCCCCCCTATTCCCCCGTGCACCTCCCCGCTCCGCCCTGCTCCCCCGTGAACCCCCCTGCTCCCCCGTGCTCCCCCGTGCTACCCCCTGCTCCCCCGTGCTCCCCCGCGCTCCCCCTGCTCCCCCCTGCTCCCCCCCGCTCCCCCCTGCTCCCCCGTGCTCCCCCCGGCTCCCCCGTGCTACCCCCCGCTCCCCCGTGCTCCCCCCCGCTCCCCCGTGCTCTCCCCTGCTCCCCCGTGCTCCCCCTGCTAGCGTCACCCTGTAGATGTCGAAGCCGATGGCGAGGTTCTCTCCGCTGCGCCCGGACGTGCGCTGCTCGCGCCGGTCCTCCTGCTGCAGGCACACGAGCACCATGTCCTCCGCCTTGCACACGTCAAACACAAACTGCGCCAACACGCGGCACACACACAAACACGCGTCACACACAGAACACGCATCACACACACCAACACGTGTCACACACACCAACACGCGTCACACACACACCAACACGCGTCACACACCCCAACACGCGTCACATGCATCACACACATCACAGGCATCACCCACACGACCGCACACCCCCCACAATATAGTTTGGCGGGTGTGTGCGGTTGTGTGGGTGGGTGTGTGGTTATATGTATGGGGGGGGGGTATGCAGTTGTGTGTGGATGTGCGGTTGTGTGGGGTGTATGCGGTTGTGTGGGTGGGTGTGTGTGCAGTTGTGTGTGTGCGTGCGATTGTGTGTGTGGGTGTGCGGTTGTGCCTGTGGGTTCTGCAGCGCCGTGCTGCGATTGTTGATGCAGCCCCCGGCACGGTTCTTGAGGGGGTTCTCATCGGTCACCCAGGCCGACTTGAGCGTCACCTCCTCCCAGGTCTTGTGCAAGGTGAAATACGACGTGTTGATGATCCTGCAGGGAGAGGCGTTCCAGTGCGTGGGGGGTCGGGGCTGCGTTGACCGGGTCCCCAGCTGCACAAGCAGCTTCTCTTTGGCCACATAGAGTTGGGCTAGAGAAGAGATGGAGCTGATGCAGTACGGGAGGATGTGGAGTGGACTCATCGATGTCTGGTACCACCGGTGTTGAGGTCAGGCCACAGAGTAATGTACCTCTTGGAGTGGCCCAATAACACTCACGCTCACCCTACACTCACCCTCACCCTACCCTCACCACACCCTCACCCGCACCCTACACTCACCCACACCCTACACTCACCCACACCCTACACTTACCCGCACCATACAGTCACCCTACACTCACCCACACCCTACACTCACCCTACTTGCAGCTTACCCTCACCATACCTCTGTAGTGACACAGCGCTGACTGCTGTACAGCAACTGCAGGTGGACACTTAGCGCACACGCTGTTGAGCATACACACGGTGTGTGTGTGTGTGTGTGCCGGAAGGGCGGAGGAACTTGGGCAAGGGTCACGGTAGACCTCGTGGGGAGGCCCCTGGAACCCTCTGGAGGGTTCGAGAAGGGAGGAGGCGTGGTTAGGGCGGAGCCAAGCGGGGCCAGGGCGGAGCCAAGCCGTGCCGAGGGGAATAAAAGCAGCGGAGAGTGAGAGCTCCGGGCTGCCGGTTCTGAGAGTGGACTCGTCTCGGTCGACACTGTCGGTGCAACGCGAGCAGAGTCGTGTCTGGGTCGTACGGCAGCGTGGTCGTGAGAGAGGGGGGGAGTTGGTGGTGTGAACCTAATAAAGACGGTGTCTCCTACGACTGCCTCGTCTCGGACTGAGTGTGTGCGCCGCACGCCTCCCGCACACGCCTCGAGAAGGGAGAGAAGAAGAAGAGACCTACGACACTGCACCTCCACCAACACCCTAGCCCTCACCTGCACTCAGCCAGTCAAATACATTCACCTGCCCCCTACAACTCACCCTACCCTCACGCGCAGTGCATTCACTCACATCAGGAACTCACCTGCACACCACCACGTCTGTAAAGTACTTGCACCAGTCTTCAAACGTCATCCTGAAACCACAGGAAACCACCATCACCACCAAAGACAAAGATTCCCCGTATAGCCTTAACAGAATGTTGGGGCAAGTCCTGTTAGCGAGCACCTATGAAGGCTGGTACGGCACAAGAGGGGGTGGGTGGCCCGCACCACGCCCGGCCGCCTTTGTCTCCCCAGTGGCTTTGTTTACACACCACACCAAGTACTCATTGAGGCTGAGTCGACCTAGAGGAGGCGCAGGACCAGTTCAGATAATCGTCACTGGTGGTGTTGGTTGTGAGCGGGAATCGAACTTGGGTCGCTGGGTTCGTAGCGCAGCAGCATGTTAACCGCTACACTACTGCTCCCCACACCATCACCACCACAACCGCTACCAACAACAATCACCGCCATTCGCCACTAAGTGGCGGTGACGTCACCACAGCGCTTGTGCCAGGCCATGTGCACGTTAAGTCCACGTGAAGTGTAGAACGCCCGCTGGCAGGTTATGGGGCAGACCCAGGTGCCATGAGTCGATTGACCGAGATGACTGGCTGATATACCCCCTGTGCGCCCAACTGTGCCAGCTTGCTGTGCTTTAGCCACCCAGCGCTCCGCCCGTTGTTGTGAGCATCGCTGCTCTGCCCTCCGTTGTTGTGGAGGGCGACTGCCTCCAACTGCCCAGTTGCGTCCTTCATGAGCCTCCTCCACAGAGGCCGATCTTGATACCGCTGGTACCAGTCATCAGCAAGTCCACTCAGCCCCACATCCTCTTGTAACACATCACTCCATCTCTTCTCTAGCCCATACCACGCCCGTTTAGACCCTCTATCTGGCCGAACAAAAGCTGTTTAGGCATGCGGTGGCTGGGCATGCGGGCTACATGACCCAGCCAACGCAGCCTCGCCTGCCGGAAGAGCTCACCGATGGGACTTCTCACACAATCCAGCTTGATTAAACCCAGGATGGATTGTAGGCAGGCTAGCCTAAATGTTTCTAACTGGCGAAGATGTTCCATTAGGGGGGGTCAACGTTTCGCAAGCGTAGAGAAGGGAGGGAATGACTGTAGCCGAGAAGACCTGAAGCTTCCTGTGGAGCGACAGACCAGGTAGCTTCCACACAGCGTTATGCAACCGATGAAAATACAATGCCGCTCGACTGATTCGGAGTAAGAGTTTAATTTCTGCTCTCTGCTAACACTAGTGACGATTATCTGAACCGTTCCTTGGCCTCCCATAGAGCAAATAAACCTCCAATGAGTACTTGGTGCAGTGTGTAAACATTGTCACTGGGAAGACAAAGGCTGCCGGGCGTGGTGCTGGCCAACCCACTCTCCTCATGTGCCGTGCCGGCCTTCATATGTGCTCGCTAAAAGCACTTGCCCCAACAGTCTATTCATGCTCTACAGGGGATCGTCGTTTTTTTTACAAGCAAAAACCCCCCATAGTCTCCGTGGGTTGCCGGTCGGTAATGTTGCGGTGGTGGCGGTGGGCAATGACATGGGGGGGGGGGGTGAGGCCGATACCAATCAGCTCGCAGTTGCTGCAGTGACCAACAGGGGCTCTGGAACGGTGCGAGGGGCTGGTGACCCCTCCACCAAATCACTAAATAACCACGCAGAAATGATGAAACTAAACTAACCTTGTCACTTGCAGCACTACACCCATCACCATCCTGAAGGGAGAGGAGGGCTATCCGGTCTCGGATGCCCAGGAACAGGTGTGCTGGTTTGCAGAGTCTATCTGCGACGTCTTGGGAGGAGGATACATCCCTCAGTCCAGACATCATCATGGGGCAAGGTGGGGATATGACCCTGCTGGGGCTGCCGTGCCTCAAATACTGGAAGACGTAGCCACCCTGTTAGTGGCTGGCTGAGGTGCCATCTTTTGAGGAAGTACAAGTCCAGGAAAAGCGACAGGCAGAGATGATCTCCCATGTGAACTGCTGAGGGAGGAAGGCGTTTGTGTGCAGACGACCCGATATGACATCATAATAAGTCTGGAGCACAGGACAAGTTCCGCAGGATTGGAAGGATGCCCTGGTTGTCCCCCTCTTCATGAAGGGGGACCGCACAGACTGTAACAACTACAAGGGCATTTCCCTCCTCAGTGTAAGGCCGGGAAAGGTCCCGGCTAGGATTATTCAACATTGCCTTGTCAGGCACGGTGAGGAGAGGCTTCCGAAGCCCCAGTGTGGTTTTAGGCCAGGGTGGTTCTGCACAGACGCCATATTCTCTCTCCGTCTGCTACAGCAGATGTGGGCAATTTCCATGGGACCGACATCTCTGATTTATTGACCTGTTCAAGGCCTATGATACCATCAATAGGCCAGGGCTCTGGGTTGCTCTTCGTGCTTTAAGAGTCCCTGACTCTCTGCTCACAATCATGAAGGAGTCAAAGCCATTCCCTGTTCACCCTGGGGTGCGACAGGGATGTCCTTTAGCCACCTTTATTGATCACGTAGTTTGAAAAGCTTTCCATGGCTGTACCAAAGTATTATTTGGGTCTCTCGGCAGGAGGAATCGGATGAGCTATGAAGCTCTTTCTCACAAATGTCCAGTAGGGGTCAGCGAGTCACAACAACAAACGACACGGCACTTCACGTGACCTCAACGTGCACCTAGCCACAAGCTCTGTGGTGACATCACCGTCACTTAGTGGCAAATGGCAGCTGTTGTTGATGTTGTGTGCTATAGGGGGGATCTTTGTCTTGTGTGCGCTTGTGTGGTATGTGCTGGTATGGTGTTTCAGTGCGTGCGAGTTGTTGTTGTGTGTGGTATGTGACCACTAACAGCACTTGCCACAACAGTCTGTTCAGGCTATAGGGGCGATCTTTTTCTTTGTGTGGTATGTGTGTAGCAGTAGTACGTGAGGAGTGGAAACGTAACGGTGATCTCATTGTGCTATGAATCCAATGAACCGAGTTAGATTCCCGCTCATGGCCAACACTGGTGACGATTTTTCCTAATCAATTCTGGGCCTCTCCTAGGTCGTCTCAGCCTTAAATTAATGTCTGGTGCAATGTGTAAACATCGTCACTCGGGAGACAAAGGTGGCTGGGCAAGGTGCTGCCCATCCTCGTGTGCCTGTGGAGGCGCTCGCTAACAGCAATATCTGTGTGTGTGTGTGCTATGTGTTATGTGCACGTGTGTGTGTGTTGTGCACGTGTGTGTGTGTGCTATTGTTATGTGCACGTGTGTGTGTGTGTGCTATGTGTTATGTGCACGTGTGTGTGTGTGTGCTATGTGTTATGTGCACGTTGTGTGTGTGTGCTATGTGTTATGTGCACGTGTGTGTGTGTGTGCTATGTGTTATGTGCACATGTGTGTGTGTGTGCTATGTGTTATGTGCACGTGTGTGTGTGTGTGTGCTATGTGGTTATGTGCACTTGGTGTGTGTGTGTGCTATGTGTTATGTGCACGTGTTGTGTGTGTGCTATGTGTTATGTGCACGTGTGTGTGTGTGTGTGCTATGTGTTATGTGCACGTGTGTGTGTGTGCTATGTGTTATGTGCACGTGTGTGTGTGTGTGCTATGTGTTATGTGCACGTGTGTGTGTTGTGCTATGTGTTATGTGCACGTGTGTGTGTGTGTGTGCTATGTGTTATGTGCACGTGTGTGTGTGTGTGCTATGTGTTATGTGCACGTGTGTGTGTGTGTGCTATGGGTATGTGCACGTGTGTGTGTAGTGTGCTATGTGTTATGTGCACGGTGGTGTGTGTGTGCTATGGTTATGTGCACGTTGTGTGTGCTAGTGCTATTGTTATGTGCACGTGTGTGTGTGGTGTGGCTATGTGTTATGTGCACGTGTGATGTGTGTTGTGCTATGTGTTATGTGGCACGTGTGTGTGTGTGTGTGTGCTATGTGTTATGTGCACGGTGTGTGTGTGTGTGTGCTATGTGTTATGTGCAGCGTGTGTGCTATGTGTTATGTGCACGTGTGTGTGCTAGTGTTATGTTATGTGCACGTGTGTGTGTGTGTGTGTGCTATGTGTTATGTGCACGTGTGTGTGTGTGCTATGTGTTATGTGCACGTGTGTGTGTGCTATGTGTTATGTGCACGTGTGTGTGTGTGTGTGCTATGTGTTATGTGCACGTGTGTGTGTGTGCTATGTGTTATGTGCACGTGTGTGTGTGTGCTATGTGTTATGTGCACGTGGTGTGTGTGTGTGCTATGTGTTATGTGCACGTGTGTGTGTGCTATGTGTTATGTGCACGTGTGTGTGTGTGTGTGCTATGTGTTATGTGCACGTGTGGTGCTATGTGTTATGTGCTATGTGCACGGTGTGTGTGTGTGATGGTTATGTGCACGTGTGTGGTGCATGTGTTATGTGCTATGTGCACGTGTGTGTGTGTGCTATGTGTTATGTGCACGTGTGTGTGTGTGTGCTATGTGTTATGTGCACGTGTGTGTGTGTGCTATGTGTTATGTGCAGTGTGTGTGCTAGTGTTATGTGCTATGTGCACGTGTGTGTGTGTGTGCTATGTGTTATGTGCACGTGTGTGTGTGTGCTATGTGTTATGTGCACGTGTGTGTGGTGCTATGTGTTATGTGCTATGTGCAGTGTGTGTGCTATGTGTATGTGCTATGTGCACGTGTGTGTGTGTGTGTTATGTGCACGTGTGTGTGTGCTATGTGTTATGTGCAGTGTGTGTGTGCTATGTGTTATGTGCACGTGTGTGTGTGCTATGTGTTATGTGCACGTGTGTGTGTGTGTGTGCTATGTGTTATGTGCACGTGTGGTGTGTGTGCTATGTGTTATGTGCACGTGTGTGTGTGTGCTATGTGTTATGTGCACGTGTGTGTGTGCTATGTGTATGTGCTGTGCACGTGTGTGTGGTGTGGCTATGTGTATGCACGTGGTGTGTGTGTGCTATGTTATGTGCACGTGTGTGTGTGTGCTATGTGTTATGTGCACGTGTGTTGTGTTGCTATGTGTTATGTGCTATGTGCCACGTGTGTGTGTGTGTGCTATGTGTTATGTGCACGTGTGTGTGTGTGTGCTATGTGTTATGTGCACGTGTGTGGTGTGTGTG